GCTGCCACTTTGCTAGATTGACTAGGTTTCTGACACTATAATAACTCGTTAAATCAGTTGTGCCGCGAGCGAATGATGCTGTTACGTGGGCACTAGGAATTGGCCCCAGCAGAAGATGCCTTTTATGGACAAATTGGCGACGACTGATAAAGACAGCGGACCGGCTGCACCTGCGCAGCACTAACGTTAGGGAGAAGAAGAAGGCAAGCGCTAGGAACTAAATTTTTTTTGAAAGTGCAAAAGAAGTCAAGGTTTCACAAGGTGGAGATGATTGGAACAGCCCCTACTTCTACTTATTACACAGAGAAGTAAGACCACGACAAATACACGGAGTACTTAATGTATTAGTTGTAGAGCTGACCCCTGCTCCTTCCTCTGCCATCCACAGTGCGTCAACAACACGCGTACGCATCCGTCCAGTGAGTTTTTCCATGGAGCCTGTTTGAACAGAAGTCGTTTCTTATCAGCTGCCCTTCGTTTCTACCAGAGCATTATCAGACAGACGGTGGAAATTTCCACTCAGCGCTGGCCGATTGCAATCCCAATACGAATAGCAGCTTCTTTGAGCTAGGCTGTTTGCGCCGAGTTTTTCACACAGCGAAGCCGCGACGTGCTCGAAAAATCAGCAAAGCTTGAGTAAGAAAACCAATCCAACTAAGACGCACCTCTAGCTCTGCTTTGCGAGCACGGAGATCTTCTACCGTCTTTGACAACTTCATAGACTCCTCCACTTTTCCCATGTTGCCCAACGCCTCCATTTCTGCGACAGCTCTACCGATTTGCTCGCTCAGTTCACCAATGCGCTGCGCCTGCAAGCAACTCGATTAGGATCTTACCCTAAAATCTTACTAATTGTGAATACAAACCTTGACCGCCTCCGCCGAATCCGTCTGCTCCTTTGCTTCACGATCAAGCTTGTCTTTAATGCGAGAAATTTCATTGTCTACTATCCGTATCGCGTTCTCCAGTATGTCGAAAGCCTGACAATGAGAGTGTAGAGAGTGATCCATCTGTACGAGTGCAGTGCTCCAAAAAAGACTTACATCAACATCGTAAAAGTGGTCTTTCTCGTTTTGTGCCTTCAAAAAATCAGCCTTGTGGGCCGGTTCATGAGTTTTCCTGCATGAAACAAGTCCTTGCAATCTACTGTCGGGCACCAATTCATACGGACAACATCCGATTAGGAAAGCACGACAAACTGTGGGATGGTTGTAAGGGACCAGCTCGCGTCCTGAAATCGATGGATGTATTATTTACGTTGCGATCCGATTCCTGACTTTTTCAAATGTATATTTGAGCCAAGTATACTCACCCTCTTCATCTTCCTTCTGACTGCCCATCAGTTGCGCGATCATATCACGCATAACGTCCGTCATGTTGGCGAGTCTGGTAGGAATCTAGCAGCCCTCAAACACTGCGAAATGGTAAGGATTCGGCATAAACACGAATGAAATACGTTGAACAAGAAGCAAATGATAACCAACGCACAGTTGCATGATAACGATAAATGGACGGTTAACCATCGAGGAAAACGCAAGTCAACACGTTAAATCAAATATTTCATAAAAATGTTACAAAACAATATAAAGATTGCACAACACTAGACAAATGCACGACAATGCTTCGCGTGAACAACCAACATTTGTAGCATTGTCACGTCAACAGGACCCTAATCAATGGCGCTCATAACAATGCACCCACTCTGTCCTAACAAATACTACTTTCATTATTACATTCGACTAGTCACTTAGACGTTATTTGAAAACCTGTCTAAAAATATGAAAGAAAAATCTAAAATACAACTGAACCATATCCTAGCAATTCACATTTTTTTGAGAAGCAGTCCTCTTAAAAAAGGGGCTAAATGAAAAATAGAGCAAAGCATCAAAACCGTCTTCCAGCCAGTTTACTTCAAAAACCTTCACATTTACGGCACTTTCATCTTCTTCAGTCAACGGTTTTACAGACAACCTCGCGTTCCAAAAATTTTGCCTTGCATTATAACCAAAAGTAATTTTATCGTAAATATCTGTACAAAATTACCAGGCATACTCGAAAATTTCGAATTTCAAATGATTCTATTATACTAGATACATTTTTCTGCTGGAACTCGTAGGGCTCTTACTTCATCATCCTTTACGCAATCTTCCAAAGAGAAGGGCTCGTTGCTTTCCTCCGAGACAGAACATGTGGGATTTATCTCCTAAACCCTACACCACATGACAACACGAAAGATGTTCCAGGAATTCATACAAATATCAAGAGTGAAACTAGCACCGAAGGAATATGTCGCATCCGCAGAGCGCTCAAATTGCCTAAGTAGGGCGTAGTGATTTATTACCGAGTTTAATTTTCCAAAAATAGCAGAAACCGAAAATGAGACATGTTTAGCATTGCCCGCAACCGCGATAGTGCATGACTGAAACTGCGCATACACTGGTCCCATATTCTAGAAGTCCACTACCACCATCATTACTCCGCAATAAACTAATGAGTCCCATTTTAGACCTCATATACATCTATTTCTGATTGTTTTTTTTTGCAAGAATGAGTGGCGTACATGCTTCTCTCGGTTGCCGTGTGCTTCAAGGTTACAAGGCAGTGGATTCATGATACCAAGTGAACACAGATGACGGAAGTAATAGAAGTGGCAACATCAACAAAGCCCCTCACAGAACTACTTTGATCCACCACTTTTCTTCTGCTTGTTAGCCAGTATTCTTCGCCAAATCAAGCGACCATACATGGTTCCCAACCAGGCAAGTATGAGTGTACCGACCAGCAGCTCGACCAACCTGGAAATAGAATGAATGAAGTACAAGCTTACACAAAGCAGATAGCTCAGGTGATCGAGCTTTTTTTTAAATTTGTTTTTCTCTTTTTTGAAAGAAAAGGACGAGTGAACGACTAAAACCTAAACTCATGGATGAGCAGAGGAGGTCGCGCTTCTCAACTTAGCACAATACAGTAGCCACAGGGACTAGCCACTTGACGCGCTTCGACCGATATCTATTTCCGCTTGTTTGTTCAGTATACACTACATGTTTCAATTGGAATAAATACCGATTCTCGAGCACGGACATATCTAATATGTAATTTACCAGGTTTGCTCCGCCCGCTATCGCGCGCATCACAGGGTAGGGAGGAACCACGGAATAGCAGCATGACGTACTCCATTAACCACCTCACTATTGAATGTGTTATACCTCCTTATACCCCTTCTCTCCGGCGCATGGCAGCGCCATGTTCTCCTCCCTTTCTCCTCTCCCCTTCCCTCCCTCTTTCTCTTCCCCCTCCCCCCTTCCAGCCTCCCCTTTCTTGCCCCTTCCCTCTACCCCTCCCACCCTCCCCCCGCTCATCCGGCTGCCACGGCAGCACCATGTAGAATGAGACTGAGTGTGCTCGATCGGTGTTTATATAGCCGCTGTGGGTTTATCATGATCATGACATCAACATCACGAAGTGTTGCCCTTCGTACTCCCTGGTTTTGTGAGCGGTTGGTCCGGACGGACAGAACGACACACACACACACACACCGACAAACCGACACACCAAAGTTCTGGTTTATATAATGAAGTGATATCTGTGCTTTTCATTTGAGTGGCTTAGTTTTCAAACTTTTTCCCTAAAATTTTACGAAGTATGAATTGATTATTTGTTAGAAAATGTGGCCGCTAACGAGTTGAATAAGCAAGTCATACCGAATGAAATCTTTTAGAAGTTCATTAACTACCTCAGCAATCGCCTATTCTTACATTTTTCATAGCTTTTTGAAGCTGATTGGGTATGCGACTCCCACGAAAATCTGAAGAAATTTAACTGGAATTTGATCGTTTCCTTCGGTAACTAGAACGAAAGCAAAAACAGTTCGAACTGTGATACAGAAAGAAGTACATTCTACAGCATGTGAAGCGATATGTAGTTCCGTCCGGCTGTGCCTTTCTGTTCGCGTCTCTTCAACACAAAACCGGCACAACTTCAGAGAACACCAGATAACCGAAAGCAAAGATCGAATGGGTCAAAAGTCGAACATGTGTAAGAAAACTAAGGCGGGGTCGAGAGGTCGCGCACGCCGTCTTCACGATTTTCGCGAAGTTGGGTACGATTTCGAGATTTTCGCGAAGCCTGCGATGGATCACAGGAGTTGGAAGTGCCCGCATGAATACTGCGAAGACGAATGTTTGTGGTTCTACTTGTTTCATGTTCAATGTCTATTAGTTCATTGAAATGCTCTTGAATCGTTCCTATTTTTTTCAGGAATCAAACCAAACCAATCACAAAAATTGCAAGTGCCCCATTTGAACAATTGAAACACTGGATATGAAACAAGTGGAATCATGAGCAGTCCATTAAACCATAACCATCAAGCAGAAGTGGCGGCGGGATTGGAGAACACCTTGCAGTATTGATCGGGCACTTGTGATTTCCGTGACCCGTCGCGCAAATCGCGAAAATCGCGCAAAGGATCGCGGACTCTGACACCAGCCTAAGCCAAGCGAACACCGCCCATTCTCCTGGTCAGGCCTCGCTTGCACCGGCATCGCCGCTGACAAAAAATTCTAACCCGGTTCCAGTTTTGACAAGATTGTGGGCAAAGTAGTATGAAATTGAGCAAAGGGTTGGAAGAAGGGGTAGGACAGATCCACCCACCGTGGGCGGTAAGAACTGGAGCCGCATGCAGCTTTCCGCGGCTGTCAATGGGTCTCAATCGGGTAAGCAACACTCTGGGGATGCACGAAAAAGGATATATCTCCTAAAAGTCGCATTCTATGTACTGGCCGAAGTATCCTATGCTTCTACAAACTTGAAGGCAGCGATTACGATAGATCCTGAAGGGGTTTAGAGGGGACGTGGGGTGCTCAATAGTACGCCAATGGCGAAAAAAGCAAAGAAATCCGTCAAAATAAGCAAAATAGTACCCCTTTGATTGCCCTTTCATTTTCGACCATGGATGAGCGGCGACAAAGAAAGACGTTGTTCGGACGTGTTAACCCCGATAGCCGCCATCATGCCAACAAGCATAGTGTTTTGATTGATAAGGCATTACATGGGCAAGTTGGAAGATACAGCCGCTAAAAGGGAAATGATCTTCCAAAATGAAAAGCCAACAGCAACAGCTCGCCCAAGTCACCAACTGAACTAGTGGGCGTAACGCTTTCGGGGCGGAGTGCTTCGAAGTCCTGCTCAGCAACCAGGACACCTTTCGTCGTGATCCAAACCGAGCTGAGTTTCGTGGTAACTTTGCCCACTTTTGTGCATGCCCCCCCCCCTCAGTAGCAGTTGAACTCACTTCTATCCCCGACCGCTATCCACTTCTTGCGGTCTCTGGGGCTTCTAGAGACCGAGTTACCAGATTAGTAACAAACTTCGCCCACTGTGGTGAACACCACGCCCATCAGCAACGTCAAACCTCCTTCTTCTTTCACCCATATTCATCATTCCTGCTCTCTGAAGCTTTTCAAAATCGATCTGTGAGTAGCCGTAGGGATGCTGTCCACTATAGGGCAAGCTGCGCCACTGTGGGCGGGCCTCCGCTCACGTCATGTATGCTGGAAACACCTTAGACATTGCTCCCCTACACCAATTGTTTTCTGCTCTGTAGGCTTTCTCCCAACCGAGTTATGAATTTTTCATAAAGCACTGCTTTTTTAGAGAACGCCCCGCCCACCGACGTGGGTTCTCCCTAATTCGATCTGGCTTACTTTTTCCGCGGTCTCTGGTCTGTTCAGAAACTGTAAGAGAAATGCCTGTGGTCAGTAAACTCATTTCGATGGAAGCCACGTCCACAACAGGTGCGGCGCCCCTTGTTGATGTGTGTTTCGTATTTCTAGCCCACCCATCCCACACTTGACCTGGCCTCCCCAAGCGGATTTCAGGAAGTAGCGAATTACGTGATAGACACCGTGACAGAACGACAGAATGACGTAGCAACAGATTAAGGCGCTCTATAATAAGCAGGATGATATTACCAAGTTTCAACCATATTCAGCACCCACTGTGCGCAATCAAATATCTGCGACAAACGTTCTGCAAAAGGCGAAAAGAACGAGGAATTGCTGCTTAGCCGACCAAATCAGAATCGCCTGCAAAGAGTTTGCTCTTTCAAATGGGGCATAGCCCTCGGCTGGAAAAGAATTTTCACTCAAAAAGCCCGTAACTTTGATGGAAGCGACCACTACGTGTTACAAAAAAGCAAAAATGCTACAATGCTCTATTAGCATTAATCTAATAAGTTCAAACAACAGTGGAGTACTGGTGGTAATAAAACTTCATATTCTCAAATATCAAAGCTTGTGATTCATGCGTGCCTTGACGAGAGCTAACTAACGATAAGGTATAACAGCAAGCGGTGTGCAATTTGCAAAGAGACACAGAA